TACAAAGACACATGGCGTGTTAGCCGCCTCGACAGTTTATAACACGATCAAAGTGCTAGTGTACGTTGATAGAAAGTATTTTTTAACAATATGCAAACCTTTAAGTCGTTCGTTCCGTGTAATTAATATATGGGTAGGTCTCAACGGAAATCCTGACTTTCTTATAATTTTTTAATGCTTCAGTAACTTCCACTTAGGCCTTAATGTTAAAAAATGTGAATTGTTTGTAGAGGTATCGAAGTGTATAAAATTTAAAAAAAGAAATTATATAGAGGGACTACAATGCAATGATATATCTTCAAAGCAGGTAATCTTCTAATTAGCTACAACACTAGCTCTATCGCTTTCATCAACTGTAAAGAGACAATCGTCATACACTTTAATTATTATTATTGTTTGTTTGTGTGTTCTTCCTTTTATTTCGTGCCACACAAAAATTGGTTCTAAAGTTACAAATTGAGTTGTCAATACCAATAAATATTCGCAAATATTCAACACAACTCCACAAAATATTTTTACTCTTTGTCGTCTAAATTTTATACTTAGACGTGTTCGCTTCCAACAAAATTAAATACCGTCGTTATAATATGAAAATGTGCGAATATGTTTAAAGATAACTTCTATCGATATCTTTTATGAATAACAGCGTGATTGATATGTTACATTTCGCCTTTGTGATACGTATTTTCATCGAGAGTAAGGAGCTGTTATGAGGCTCCAAGATCGTTATCATGCATCCAACAGCATTATAAAGATTACCCGTCAAGTTAATTCCATCGCGTGCGCAAACAATGCCGTGTGGCCCACATAGAGGTAGATAGGCGTGAAGATAGATGGTGGTATCTCGTCAGCACGGCACCAGTTCCACATAAACAAACAAAAAGACTTTCCCTCTTAATTACATCACATTTATCACGAACCTACATGCGACGGTTCAATGAATCCTAAAATGAAAAAACTTAGCCCATTTATATTCAACGAAATTTCAGTATGAAAAGTTAAACATAATCGCGTCCCGTGTCGTGAAGTTGATTCAGGTCATATCCAATGGAATTTCATAAATAAAATCTAATTTCATGAAACGCGACTGCCGCCTAATGAGGGACGCAATTATAAACCTCAGCCTCTTATCCTTAATAGGGATCAGAGTCGTCTCATAATTATAGCGATCCGAATTTGCTTTGTAATTTATTGGAAACTGATTGTAATAGATTTAGCCAAGTTAGGCCCGTAGGCCTTCTAAATTTCGGCTGTTGAAATTGTTGGAGACAAATATGCTTGCACGTTATTCCAAGGTGAGTTTAATTCCAACCGCGCGTACTCGATCAAATATTCAGCGGATCACAGTGTAATGTAAGATTACTCGAGTTGATGTTTCTAGGCTGCGGCGCGCTCTCCATTTTCATCCGCAGGGATGTAGTAAACGACTACCGGCTTTCTTTGCTTCGACCCTCTGCATCATTTATAATCATAACTCCTCCAGCGAACACTTTAACTTCGCACCTCGCCTAGCACTCGCCTTGATGCGACGAAAGTGGAGGAAAACATTTTCGCGAGTGGCTTTTGTGCTACTCGACTCTTTGAATTCTAACTTTTCACGAACTCTGTGACCGAACTGAGCGAAAAATATCATTTTGTGCAGCTTGTATTAAGAATTTGCACGACGCGTATTAAAGTCTCTATAAGTTTACGCTTCGCCGTCATTATTCTATTCTCGGTGTGTATCCAATATAACTTTTATTAGCGAATCGTTGGGCGTGCGTGTGGGTCACTCGTGAATGTCGAAGGTCTTCCGTGCCTGAATCATAATGGGTTTTCAGGGGGAGCATCGCTGATTCCAGTTGTTAACGAAGACGTTTATAACGTTAACCAGATGTAAGTGCAAAGTGTTATAATTACTACATAAATCGGTGCAGAATCATGTTTGTTTATCAGTTAAAGAATATCGCAACCCGCAGTGTTCTCATTCCAGTTAAAACAAACGCGGGCAATAAGTTGCAGGACTTGTAATGAAATTCTCGGGCTTCGTTTGATTAAAATAAGTCCGGGATGTCGGTCCAGTTCCTGCAGTGAGTTCAAGCAATCGCGTTATTGGAACGCAATTTGTGCCAATTTAAAAAAAAATCGGGGATGTCGTTCGGTCGGAAAATGTTACAAGATTTTGCGCGGATTGCACCTATAAAATATAAACATTGCTTGTTTATTCAATAAAAATGTGAACGTTGCGGTTTGTTAGGAATTGGATTGAGTCAGTTGGTGGCTCATTTCGAGTGCTGTAGGTACTCTATTATACAATTATTAGTACATAATAAAGCTGGTTAGTTCAGGAGATTGTAATTTTGTGGGTTTTGTTGAACCCTACTGCTTACCTAACACAATTTTCGAATGCGTAATGAACACAAACTTTGTTATCTTGGTATTCAAATGTGTTGTAGGTACCTGTAATTGCTAATAATTTTCAATTACGTGGAAATAATATTCGTAAACTGTAAAGTAGACGTAGAAACCTTGCTTATAGGTAGGTACCTTCCCTTCGTAGAAAAGCAGACGTGATGTTTTGCTATCGAAAAATACGATGAAAGTATAGGCGTTTCATGTGAATAACTTTCACAAAACAAACACTTAAAATAAAAATATGGGTGCCTTCAATGTGTATACGGTCACGTACCCGTATATTGATCAAATATCACCAGGGAATATATATTTTTCAAATATTCCTAAAAGCAATGTTGTGTACGGTACCACGCCACGGTCGTACGATATTATTGTTAATGCTCACTGTAAACAAAGCTCGTTAGGAGTTTATAACCCACACATAAACTACCATTAGCTGGCGCCGAAATGTAGGTGAGTATACTGATCCCAGTTTCCCCTAGTTTTTACAAAACAAACCAATTTGATACATTTCCAATTACCTTCTGCAACCTGCTTTGTCCGCGTTCTTGTGCGATAAAAAGTACTCCATATGTGCTATTCCAGACCATCTAACCTAGTTTTCTAATTTCATCCTAAACCCTTCAACTGTATTGACGCGATTGAATAATAAACATACACACAAGCAGATATATACTCAAACTCTAAACTTTCGCATTTGCAATATTAGTAAGTCCCAACAGTTTCCTAGTTAATTTTAGATTTAATTTTCAACAAATCAGTAACTGCCAATACATTTTTGACAAAGATAACCTCTTAATTTAGACCCTTTCACTTCAGTATTGAGTACGGTTATTACAAATTGCATGATAACCCTTTGATTCCTATTGTTCTTCTCATTGAGAGCTGAAGCCCCGGGTACCTGCCTTCCATACCGGCTCAAGGAGAGACACTTTACTTTGAAGACCCTTTGTTGTTATTAAATTACACTAATTTGATATCGGCCAGAAATTTCAATCTGGGTAATAACACAATATATTTTCGGAGTACTTGTAAAACTTCCAAGTCATCGAAAATTATTTGAATAATATTAAGTAGGTACAGTGAAATATGAAAAAGTCAGTTTTTTGAGGGGGGGAAAGTCATCCAATAACTTCTCCCGCGTTGGGTTAGGCGAGAGGGAGTGTCAGACTCTTACTGACTTAAAACTACCCCGTTCCTACTCTAGCTCCGTATCGGGCATCAGCTCCACTGGGCCCCATCTGTGGTGGCCTGATGGGTCTTTGAGGCGCGCGCGTAAAGGAGGCCATACACGCTAGGTTTTACATGATGGTTTTAGCCGTGCATGCATAACCGACAGGCAAGCCCTAGCGTGTATGTGATTAAACTGTACAGTTATCGGTGCATCGGTGCTCGGTTATGCTTGTCGGTTTTGCATGCAAAGTTATAACCATCATGCAAAACCTAGCGTGTATGGCCTCCTTTACGCGACACGCTGTACGCAGGGGTCTGGTTCTGGTCGTGCGGCGAGCTACCCTTAGTCGCCGTTCGCAGACCCGCACGTACGAACGGTGGCCGAAGATCGTCGCACGATCTCCGACACCCGGAGTGTCTGCCGCGACGACTGGGGCGTGAAGAGGTTCATTCCCTCACGTGTCCTGCCTCCTGTGAAAAAGACACTTAAATCCAATGTTCCAAAAAACAGAACTAAGATCTTGATTGATACACATCTGTCAGATTAGGTATTGTCTTCTTATGCCATTGCTCAATTTTTGAGTCCTTAACACTTTAACAATACAATTTCTCGTTACGAAAATATTGTCTTCTTTTCTGAGCTACAAAATTGTGAATGTAAATTCCTTTTCCAATACATCAATCAAATAACACAACAGGGTTTGTTTAGGCATACGAGACATAATGATCAAATCCTAGCTTCAGAGGACATTTTGTATTTTCTTTTTACGTCGCGTCGTAAAAATGTGGAGAAATAAACCTATTTAGGCCAGTTTATGTTGATGTTGTCATACATTATTAAGCACCTAACATAAAAAATATTACGCAATAATGTAACTTACTGACGTAGTGTTTAGTAAACATTAGTTTTTTTGGTTTGCTTTTCGTTTTTAGATTTTTACGGTACTGACACAAAAACTAACAAATACTCCTATGTACCCGGAAACCAAAAACTCAAACTCCTCAACTTATGTGTTCTATACATATCCACGACATTCACCTGAATGCACATCACGCACGTTAGAGCGAACGGTATGAAATGTCTCATAATTGCCTAAATAATGTGAACTGCACGAACGAATCCGCACGCAGAGCGCTAGTGTGTAATATTGACTAGAGTATATTATACGGGGCTGTTATTCGAGTTCACAGCAAAAACTTATTATACTGGAACAACATAGGATACGTTAGGTTAATCTAAATATGAAAATATTTTGTGTACAAGCCGGGAATATATGAATGAGGGGCGTCGGCGTCTGCAAGAGTGATGAAGGTCGGCGCCACATACGCGATTCATGTCATACTTAATTATGCTTTCATATCAAAGAACTCCTCTATTCTTTCATACTCCTTGCTCTCAGAACATAGCCATCAATTTATTTTTATCTTTCCAGGTCAATTACACATCAACCTAGTCTGATGAAAGAGGCTTCCATTCCATTGATTTAAGGTAAGTTCGCATTTATTGGATTGAACTTATCAACGCAGCCGTTATTGTGTGATATGTTAAGTCGTACTCAAGTATTTACAGACAGTGTTTTTACTGAACTGTATGTGAACGTATCGCGGCAACAAAGTTGTGAATCATTCGTATTTTAAAACCTGACCTTAGCACTAACAAGTTATGTACAAACAAAAGAATATTGAAGTACCTATCTTGAGTTTTGTTGTTTGTGTTTAAATATTTCCCTGTTTTTCCCTGAGTGATCTCATCCATTTTCTAACGATTTGAGTAATCGAAAGCAGATGTCAGACACCCCTCCAGTGCGCATGTTCCTATTTAATTTATTATCTTGAAAGAAGTGCTATTCAAATTACATTTAGATCACAGGGTACAAGATATTTTTATAGAAAGTCAAAATCTTCTCAGAGTTCTGACTGAAGCAGGAATAAATTATAGAATGCATTTTTCAAGTGGTCTTGAATGATTAATCTAGAGGAAAGACGAAAATGAGCTGCGGATGCAGTTTTTAAAAACGGAAAATAAAGTCTTTCTTCAATATTCAGTAGCATTTCTAAAAGAAACTCACTATGTACCAATATAACGTTGAATTTTGAAATTCAAAACACGAGTAACAATAAACAATTCTAGATTTAAGCTCCTGGCTCGTTCGGAATATATTTTAATCTCCTCGGAACAGCGTTATAATCACCGTGTACAGACTGCTATGAAAATGTACGTGAAGCCTGTTACATGTTTTACTGTCATGTTGTTACTCGCACGCGGTGTCAATGATGAATTCTGTGGACGTTAATCGTGTAACACGCTGTATACTCTATATACATCATGTTACTATAAGTTACCGCATTAAACTACGTTTTATACAGCAATAAAAGTCATATAGGAATGTTTTAGAAACTACACTATTAATTTACTAACTTTTGTATAAGAAGTTAAACAAAACGTATGTAGTAATAAAGATGATTGATAGAAAAGTGTAGTGTTATTAAATAATGTCAATAAATATTATTTCTTATTAATACATTAATTAAAAATAATGTTTGGTTTTTGTGGTACATAAACGCGATTAAATAACAAGTTTCTACAATAAAGGCTTACTTTAAATATGTGTTATTAATTTGATTTCGGAATTCTACATTATTACTCATATATAACATCACGCCTTTTATCCCCGAAGGGGTAGGCAGAGGTGCACATTATACCACTGTGCAATGTAACTCCCACTTTTCACGATTTATGCTATGAGTCCCATGTAATAGGGGGTGAGACTATTGCCATATACCGGGCACAATTCCAGACTCCGTGCTACTACGGAGAATTTTTTAAAACCCTGTAATACTTTGCCCGACCCGGGAATCGAACCCGAGACCCCTTGCCCGGCAGTCGCACTTGCGACCACTCGGCCAACGAGGCAGTCAATACTTTTAGACAAAATGCCTCATTGTAAGTTGGTAGTTGTACCAATTGTCAGTTGTGTTAAAAATATTTGGCCGGCTTGACCTAATAAAAATCCCCCTGCTATTCGACCTGATGGGACTGTTAACGTAACTGGCCAAAAAGTAGGTTTATTGGAACTAAATTGGGTTCAACTCTACAGGAAGTACCCTTTATAGTCCTTTTTGAAAACAAAGACTTAAGGGCGTATGCTTCTATTGATTTTCCGGTATATGTAACAATTATTTTACCAAAGACAGTAATTAAATGTCTAACGTAAATGACGATTCGTTACAATGGCGACGTTTATAAATATTTCATCAATCTTCATTAGACGTCAGACGTAAAACTTGGATTGTTACGCACCGTACATCACGTCACGAATATGTGCCTATACGAAACTTTGAATAAATAATCGTTATTGTCGTGGTATATTTTGTACCGGCTTACATAACACCCACTGTTAAGTGTGACTGCCACGTGCTATGGTTCTGTTTCTTTCCTTTATCGTAAAGATTACCAGATATCACTTGAATAAGGTTTCCGTCATTTTGTTTTTAGATAATGTCCAAACTTGAAAGTTACACTAATGCAGTTCTACTAGCAGTTTTGCTAACACATTGTGTGTGCATTAAAGTAATTAATTCTTTAACAACATGAAAAAAGACACGGAACTTTCGCAAATGTAATTTCATTCGTAACCAAATAACAAGTATTGTAGCTGATAATGTCGTAGGATTTTTGGTCACACCATTTCAGAAAATATTGTCCATTAGAAATGGGAGCTTCACTATCAGAATTTCTGCAATCTCCGGGAACGGTCAGAGGCAATATTGTATAATATCTTCGTGAATGAAGTGCCAGGGTCGCCAACTTATATCCTCCCCATTTCACCCATGTGTTCCCTATTGTTCCCCAAACGCCAGAGGCTAGAGGAAAGGATCCGGAACATACAACTGTCACTACCGTACCACATACTGCATATCTTTTTTACACACATTCACATTAAGAGTCTGTGAGTCCATAGATAGATTATGGACCTTCACTAATAAAGGGGTTTACTGTGATCTTAACGCTTGGCAGACGTGTTGGAGATCGCGGTTTAAAGGATTAAATTTACCGGTGAGTGCTGCCGCCCGTTCTGTATATGTTAGTCTCTTAGTCGACTCTCACGACGTCTGGGGGAAGGCTAGGGGTAGTGACAATGGTAATCTAATCTAATTCACACGGCCAAAAATTGTAATAATCATACCTGAATTACCTTTCCTGGGTTTCCAGGACAACCTTTACAGTAATTTACCTTTACACATTCATGCCCAAAGTTTTATCGTAACCGCAAGTTAAGTCCAAAATCCCCGGAGTATACTTACCCTTAGTTCCAGTACTGTATGGAGAACACTGTTTGCCTAATTTACTAATTTAGGCTGGCCGACCGAACGAATGTTTGGACGTCAGTAGTGGTTAAGTGGATTTCAGCAAATTTTGATTCATTTACTGATTAGCTGTTGTATGCTGTCGACATATTATAAGGTACCCAATTATTTAGCGTCAAAGGTGTGTCATACTACACCACGCCTTGCAGATCCAAGTAATACTGCATGCATGTGCAGGCAGGAGCAAAATTTCTACTACTGCTCATCTCTGCAGTTATACCAACAGCCTGAACTGAAGTAAACAAAAAACAAAAGAATTACTCAGAATAAAGTAAATAGGTACACAAAGCCATTCGTGGTCTTAACTTAATCTCTAAATCCGACACAGAAGGAAATAAACGCATAAGTAACGATAATCCTGAGTAATTGTGGTATTTTATAGAACATTTCGACAGTCAGTGATCCGAATGGTAATTTTCTGGCTCATATTCTACTAGAAACTTCTATACTTAGTCCAAAAAGGCTGCAGATCGAACTTTCTAGAATGGGGCATCATTAGACCAGTTTTAATCAAAGTTTGTTCCAACAAAAGCATATTTGTTTGGAGCCATTAATTAAAATAGAAACTTATTCATTGCCGTTTACTGTTTTTATAAACTTATCAGTCGGTCATTTTCCAAAATGTTTTATTAGTAGATACAAGTTAATTGCCACATAAAAATCTTCATTTATTAGGACCAATATCTTTAAGAGTGCTTATAGCTTAATTAACGTGTTTGGTGCATATTAAATGCGTTGTGAGAAACTCTTTGTTAGTTGAAATGTTTTCGTTGTATAATATTTTATACTTCCACTGTTTTGTAATTGAATCTGTTGTATACTGCAACATCTGAAAGATGCAATAATGTTACTCGAGTTAAAATAACATGTTTCTATGTGTGTGTTGTGTAGATATCCTACAAACATCCGTTTTTCGCTCTTTTATTCGGAAGTCGGAACAGCTAGTTTGCAGATGGAAATGTGACTAGGTCTCTTGGGGTCAGTTTGAAGATAAAAGTGCTTAGAGGCAGGCTGGTCCGGCTCTGCAGGATAATACATGAAACACAGTGATGTTCAATGAATTCTATTTGTGTAATAATATAATCATGTTGCTTAAATATTTGTATAGTTTAAAACGTTGCACAATTTATTGTAAATGTGAGAGCCCTGTAATTAACTAAATCAAATTAGACTAGTAGATTGCATTTATGTCAGCTTGGAGTTGTCATGCTCACTCAAAGATCTCGTTGGCGGTGGCACGTGCATTGGATCGCTCGATTCCCTACAAAATGGTTGAGTTGGGCGGTGCTAGGTTTCGCCAAATGTTCGTGAACGGGCACCGTCGATTGGAACTGGTCAGCTCCAGACTGTATCATTTTATTTTATTATCCTCAAGGTTATTTTCTTTTTCAGTCTTTCTGACTGGATTTAGGTGTTGCATTGTTCTCACATAATCGAACCAATAAAACTATGTAACTAGAGAATTGTATTGTTAACCTGATTGAAAAAGAGTAACCTATGGAGTTTCTTGCTCGTTCTTCTCCATAGGAATGTACGCCTTGGAATGAGCAACTAGCTTCACTTATAATTTTTTGTTGTTTGACGTTCAAAAGTGCCATCCTGGTCTAATTGAATTAAATGATTTTGACTTTGACTTTGAAGAAAATGACCCATTTTCTTCAGACAAATAGAATATTGCACACACGATTTATTCCAGTAAAATTTCTATAAAATTTGTGGAGACCACAAACAACTCCTTAAAATACACCCTACTATTAAAAAAGTCACGAACAGAAATCAGTTTAAGAATTCTCAAGTCTATTTAGCCTTTAAACTTATTAAAACTCCTGTTCATATTTAATGCATAGATTTTCCAATGAAAGACCGAAGCTCGGCTCAGGCCAGTTTACCGATGGAGTTTCGAAGTTGGATCATAAAATTTTACACGCCAATTTTTCGCTTAAAACAAATCGGGAACACTACAAGTCTGAAGTCCTTAGTTTGTGTTTTCCAGGCATTTACCAATGAGTTTTGGAAACTCTCGAACTTCTTACCTACTTCTCACCCGACTTTGCGAAGATCAAAGTTTAAAAATTCATTTTCGGGTAAATCGTCTACGAAAAATCCTTGGAAAAGTTTTTT